GAAGAAGAAGAAGAAGAAGAAGACGAACAACAACAAAAACAGCAACAACAACAAAAACAGCAACAACAACAACAACAACAACAACAACAACAACAACAACAACAACAACAACAACAACAACAACTACATCAACAACAACAACAAGAACAACAAACTGGTATCTTTTTTGTTGTATTTCCCCAGGTTCTATATTTACCCGTCCAGGCGTGGAAAACCGCGTACGTGTAATCCCAACAAACACACACAGAGACACTTCAAGTTCGCAATACTGCTTGATGTCGATGACGACAACCATATTCACTTCAGAAAAGATCACTTTAGTAAGCTCTAGTACATACCGAATGTGGAAGCGAGCCCGGGCAGAAATGTCGACACGTTCACTGCAATGGAGATGAAGTGAAGAGGGTCAATGGACAATGTCTGTTTGAGCTTGGCTATTGTGTTGGGGTAAACGCACCACCCCTGATCATCTCAGCTACCTCAGGTGCTGTTCAAGATCCAAAGACAGCGAACGTTGAGACTGAGACACCCTTCAACTCCCGATTTATCGAGTATCTTAAGTGCGTGTTCCGTTACAAGTACCCTTCGGCTCAGATATCAGAGATCATCCCTTTCCCAGGTAGTGAAAGATTTATTGATAGAAATAATTTATACTCTTTTAGGATAGAAGGTACGTTCCCATCGACAAGCGAACTTCCGTACGAGGCGTTCCAGGAGGCTGTAGCCTTTTACTTACAGTATTTGGGGTGGGCATCCGGAACTTCAAATTTGCGAAACATTTTACATTCGTCAAACCAGGAGAGGTTCAAAACCCAAGAATCGCCATCTACCCTGTGGAACAGGTCAGCAGCAGATGTCGACAAGCCTTCTCATTCCTGTGAAAACAGTTCCGGCAACTGCTCCGCTAAGGGTGACGTGAACGAAACAAGCAAATTATATGCAACTGATGACCTTAGGTGCACAGACGAGACCTTCATTGCTACTAGTAATACTACATCCTGTGTGTATTATTATTTTTCGGGAAAGTTACAACTACCTATACCCCCTAATGTGATGAGGCCTTTACGAAGTACCTCAAGAAACTTTACATTTTGTATTTCGGGAGAGAGGTCCAATATATACAAAGAGAACGTCGGGTTCCTTGTCATGCTTGTCCTATTCGTGGTCAGTGCATGCCAGCAGTAGGGCTGGACAATGAGTCGCTTTAGCAAAATCCGGATAATAATAGGATAGTGCACCTTTTCGGCAATGATAAATTTTAATTTATTCGGCAAATGGGTTAAATTCGACAAACGGGTTAGCATCACTTCAACAAATGGGTGCACCCACTTCGGCAGACGGGTCAGGAAAGAGAGTTAAGAGTCTGAATTTGGATAATGTTTCACTGAGAATTGTCCGATTACCCTTATATGTTATCCGGGCTTTGCACACCTCTGGCCAGCAGTAACTGTAAGACTGGAACAGAGGTGTCTTTGCACGCACATGGTGGCGCAAGGACTACGCGAATTCGCCCTAGGGTTTTTTTAAATTGAAATTGATCAATACGATATTCTTTGAAAATTGCTGAAATAAATAACTATAGAGTCATGAAATAGTCGTCCTTCATTCTTTTTCTTTAAAATATCAATATTAAACATCGTTAAAGTATACCAGTACAGTGAAAGATACATATATTTTACAAGTTAATGTTAAAGATGACACCTTTGTACAAGTTAAGAGATAGATCAAAAGGTTTTCATACAGGTTGGGATATAGATAATCATGTTATATAAGTTAAGAGATAGATCATAACCAAGTTATACAAGTTAAGTAATAGACAACATTGTTATACAAGTTAAGAGATAGATAACTATGAGAAAAGAATTGTGCAGAAGACGGCCACCCTATGTAACTAGTACTTGAATGATAATGCGCCATTATATTTATCAATCCTGCTGAGACTGTATATTTCCACTCGCAGTTTAAAGGTCATCAGCTGACAAAAGAAATTTCTTTTACCGTCTATGAAACTTAAAACAGTGGGTGAAAGGGCAATTGAATATCAAGTCCCCAAGATCTGGAATGCTTTACCAAGTACTTTAAGAGAGATCAAATTCATTCAAATGTCAGCTGAAGTCATTTCTGTTTTGAAATAATCAGATGAATATTTGGAGTGATTATCTTTTAGTCAGAGCACAATGTTTTATGTTACTGTTGTATTGTATTGTACTGTAAAGCGCCCAGAGCCTGGGTACTTTAATCGGTGTAGTGTTATTCTGAAAACGAAACATGAGTTGTTGTAAACACCCCCTTGTATATATTTTACCTGTTCACGATGTGTGGAGGCTGGTAATAATAATAATAATAATAATAATAATAATAATAATAATAATAATAATAATAATAATAATAATAATAATAATAGAGATAGCATTTGTATCGCGCAAATCCCCGCTCAACTGCAAACTCTATGCGCTTCACAATCTATACTATTACCCCAACAGACCTGAGAGCATTCTGAAACAATTTCAACTTCCTGGGAAGCATACAGTGCAAACGACCATTTATAGGAGCTAAAACACTAACATACTGACAAGATCTTTCGCCGGGTACCCATTCCCACCTGGGTGAAGGGACTAAAGTGCCTTTCCCGAGGACATAACATCGGGCCCGCGGCTCGAACCCCCGAACCAGCAACCTCAAGATTATGAGTCCGGTAGACTAACTATTAGAGGGCACTAACAAGCTCTAAAAAAGTTGTTCCCGTATCCGATCCAGACACTGTAGATTTCCTTCTTAGTAAAACAACTCCTTGGGCCTTCGGCATATTGTGGTAAGGTGGCCAGTTCCTTTCTACGCCGCCTTTACTTCCCCAACTCGAAATCAGGTACCCATTACTGCTGGGTGGGCCGGAGGGGGCGGAAAGAATCCATGTCCGAACCGAGGCTCGAACCCGGACTTTCCGCTTCGGAGACGAACGCTAGCAAGTACTACTAAACCAATATAATCGAGTTTTCAACCACGGCTGCCAGTGAGTTAACTTTAATTTGGTCATTTTTAAGGACAAGCGGGCTAAACCAGATTTCGGGGGTTTCCAGAAATCTTGACATACACCAAAAGTGGGCATTGCCCTATCTATGGGAGAAATTTGGTTTCATTGGTGTGTATATTTGTTTGGTTATAGAGAAAACTCTCCGTGTCTTTTAAAGAAACTGAAAAAGGGGCAAAAACTTTACCTTCGATTTCTCAAAACAACATAATTTTTCAGGAGAGCCCGCTCGCACTTAAAATAAGTTAAAAGCGACCATTTTAAGACAGTGTTTACATATTATTGTTCTTATGACTAAGTTATAACAGTCACTACGTGTTCATGCTTGGTCTACTGAATGGCTGGTGGGGGGGGGGGCTGTGCATTTACCGATTAACTCTATCGTACGTCGTGTTTTACTATCGTATCATTACGACGTGGGGAACTCTGTGCCATCACTTTCCAAAGTGGAAATTTACTCGTTAATCCTATCTGTACCCTTTGCATAGCAGTCTGTCAAAATGATTTTTTGAGAAATACTGAACATTTCAAAGAGATCTTCGTACTAGAAGTATTCTAAAATGTGAAGAATACAACCCCAGAGGTACAAAATGACCCCCAGGGCGTACGGATAGGGTTAAAAGATCAGCTTTTCGTCTAATCTCAAGTAGATCTACCACACAAGAGCCAAGTTCTTTTATCATGGCCCTTTTGGGACACCCAGCACAGCCGTGTCCCTGAGTGTTGTAAGGTCCTGCTAAGTGAGAATCGCACCCCCTCCCCACCCCAAAAAATACCCCCCCCCCCATCCCTAGAAAAATCTCTGTGAGCAATGAAATATGTTAGATTTGCCAAGATGATGAAACAGTACATGTATTCGATTGGATCTTACGTACTGGATGAATCGGGCTGAGGTTGTTTTCTGTCACGCTGATCTGTGAGTGGAATAGTATATTAATATGCTTAAGCGTAACATAGTCATAAATTGTGAGACAGCGTGGTGAAATCAGGCACGCGTCAAAATAATCAAAGGGAAGAAACTGGCATTTACTAGCAAGTTTATGAATTTTAATCGAATGTGTGTGTGTGTGGGGAGGGGGAGAGTTGGCTCAACATCTTTCATGTCCAGTAAAGAACACATTTCTGTGTGAATTTTACTGAAAAAACATTGATTAAAGGCACAAAAAAATAAATGTGCATCTTCAGTTTCCAATGACTCTCAAGCTAAGGAAATAACTAAAGTTTGGTGGCCATTTTCTCGCCAACTTTACCTCATAAACCAGGTGACCCTACCTCCTTCAATCGCCAATATCTCGACTTGTATCCAAGATAAAAGGATTTTTTTTAGGGAAAGCAAGACAAATGAACAAGCTTTAAGCAGATTCCAACAAATCCTCATGCCCAACAATTGACTGGCGCCTGATTCCACCACGTCGTGACACAAATTAAATGGCTCTCGTAACGAGATCCTGTTAACATTTATGTCGTGTAGTTTTTCTACCAAGCCTATGGTATTTATTTTGCGTGATTAGAACACGGCTTTCAAGGTAGCAATAAATCAGAATACTACTCTCATGTTATAAGCGTCTTTAATCCCAGAACCTGTAATTGTTGATTAAGTCTTGTCTACTGGCATTAATTTTTTTTTTTGGTTTTTTTTTTTTTTTGGGGGGGGGGGCTTTTTTGTAGCAGCAGTTACGCGCTTCACCATCGTACTCGGAAGACATGAGTTCTATGACCGTTTGGGAATTTCTCAAATCCAGTACCTCCTTAGTTTTAGTAAGAGTTTTACGGCACTTGCAACACAATAAGGTCGTATACGTACTGAAGATTAGAGGTGTTACAAGAGAGTAACATACACAAAAAAGGAGGGAAGATAAAGACGACAGATGTTTGATAGGAAAGAAGAATTAAGCAAACCACACCCACCAGAGCACCCGCCAACCACCCACTCCAGTATCTCTATCTGTGGGCTGGGACGTTGTGTGTCTCTCAGCCTGGAGGGGGAGGGGGGGCTGCCCAGTTAGTCACAGGCTCAGTTAGTCACCTCAGTTTGTCATAATTACAGCTCTTCAGCACTGTCGTTGTAACTTAAGTTTTTTATTCTCCACCTTCAAATTGGTGGTGTGGAGATAGTCCCACTAAAATGTCAATTCAGCTTAATATGTTGTTAAATATATTTTCCTTTTTGTATGCAAATCAAAGCAAATTACTCTGCAAAAATTTCAACAATGAATGTTCTTTCGTTAAAAACAATTGAAACATAAAAATCAATTCATACTATCAATCTATCATTCATATGCTCTTTTTGAGAGCGTCAGTAATACCTTCCATCAAGCAGGGCACAGTCGAGGCGGGGTCGTGGGTCTGTGACAAACTGGGCCTGTGCAGTGCCGGATTAAGACCCAGCTGGCCCCAAGGCACACTTCGCTGAGTGGCCTGAAAAAGTTAGATATGGTGAAAAATCTCAGCCCCCTCCCCTACCCCTTTAACACACACACATGCAAGTGCGCGCAAATTCAAAACTACACACACATACACGGTCTGTCTGTGCCTGTGTCTGTCTGTCAGCCAGTCCAAAGTATGACAGTGTGGAATATGGACAACATACCAGTAAGATAATGTAATTAAGGTCTCACAGCAATGTAAAATTATGCATTATTATTTTTTATCTTGATTGCCATTTTGAGTGCTTTTGCAACAGCGAATTCATCAAAGACTTTGTTAATGTCAACTTTGTTCAGTAAATCACTTTCAATTGAAAGAAGTACTTGCATCCCTAGCCTCTGCTGAGACATGGTTGAACGCTTAAAGTCTTTAAGGCCGGTCCCAGAGTGGCTCTGTAAGTCTGACCTGTAGCTGGCCTGGCGCACGCCGTTTGCGTGTCAGCACAGCCGCACTGTGGGTTGGCGCCTGTGTCTCAGCGAGCGCGAGGCACACTCGCTGCGTCTCAGCACAGCCGCACTGTGTTGACATGTGTAAGTGTGCAACTGACGGGTCTGCCTTGCTATATTTAGGTACTGTGTAATCCAAGACCAATTATACCAAGACGGGTCAACTCTTCTTTACGTCATGTGCCAAGTGCACCCCCCCCCCCCCCATACACACACAAACACACTAGCAGCAGCATGCGGCGATAGTTTACATTGGTTACAATGCAAGGCTAGATCTAGATCTAGAATCTAGAGAAGCACACGTAGATCTAGGCCTAGGCCTAGGCCTACGACAACAGTCGAAACTAGGTCAACCTCTCGATTC